GGGGGTTCCCGGAGCCGGGAATACGGGGTGCCGCCTCGGGAGCGGGGGAACAGCCCTGTGAAAGGGCCCGGTGGGCGCGGGAGCCCGGGCCGAGCGCCTGGGCTGGGCTGGGGGAGAAGCAGGCGAGGTCCCCCTCGGAGGCGAGGGCAGCGGCGCCTCAGGGTTACAGATAAAACAGGAGGACTGGTTTATCCCGTCAAGGAATCCAGGTTTTAAAGTACATTTGGGATTGTGACCAATAAACCCACGCTTGGAAACTTCCAAATCCAGCGTCGGGATACGAAGCGTTAGAAGAGCTTGCCCGACGTGAAATTCAAATGAATTTTGAAGGGTTTGTATTTTCCATGGCCTGCACACCCCCTGCGTCTGTCCCGCTGCACATACTGCACTGTGACGGCTTGTCTTCTTTCAGGAGTTGGTGTGGTTATTCTTGTATGTACCTTGCGGATATTCTGGGTAAATATAAATATTTTATAACTTGTCTGGTATGTGCTTTTCGAACAGGTGGCAAACTTTCCCACAAACTGGATACAAATGTATCTCAGAACAGAAACTGGTTTTTAGTTTACAACCTATTAGGGTGAAATATTGTTTTGTTTTCACTAGAGGTCTCTGTTTAATCATAATGAGAAGAAGGAGCTTGTACTAAATGCCCATCTTGTTAGCTTGCAGATACCAACGCTTTGCCAAGCCTGAAAGAACTTCTGGAGTCTGTTCCAAACACAGAGAAAAGGACCTGGGATTTGTTAAGTTGGATTTTATCATCTAAGGTCTTCATGATACAAAGTACTAAGAAACAGGAGGTAAGTTTTGAATTCTAAACGTCTTTATTGGAATTCGTCTTTTGAGGCAAACTTGCACTTCAGAAAGTATTTCCTCCTGCCAGAAGTTAGTTGGTTATTGTCAGAGCTTGACAGTTCAACGTGAATGCATTTTTTTTCTGTATATAGAGAGGGTTTTTTTAAATAAAATTTTCAGGAACACTACTTGCAAGAAATAGTTATCGCTGTCAGTAGTTGGTGACGGGCAGTGATTGTAGGTGGTTACTGCCGTTAACGTAGCACGCACCTTCATGTTCTAAACCAAGACAGTCCGACTCGGGTATCGTGGAGCTAGGTCCTGCTTCTCACTCAGAAAGAAACTTTGTACTTCTGCATACGGCCCCAAAAATGGAAAGGTTGAGAGCCACTGAGGAACTTCTGTAACAGGGATCAAAATAGTTGTAGGGATTAGCAGCAAGATGAAAACAACTTCTGTTTTCACTTTGTTTCCTCTTCCAAGATCAGCTGATGAATATATCATCTTAGTAGCCAAAGCAGCATAGTAGAATTGGATATTGTCCTTACATCATCAATTAAACCATAACCACAATTCAGGTTTTTTTTCTGGAAAGAAGAATTAGGATTTAGCTTTCATAGCAAGGAACTGTCAGAATTCTCACCGTATATTTACTCCTCCTCAATTGTGACAGCGTTGAATTCTAACGCAGAAAGCTTAATCAAAATACATAAAGCAACATGAAAGACTAAGGGAGAGTAAGCAAAATTTCCAGTGAGTAATCTAACCTCATAAACCAACGCTCATATTCCTTCCTGTTTTTAAGTACGGGAAGATCCAAGAACTCACAGGGATGTCTGGGGCTGTGGTTCCTGCTCCAGACTACCTCTTTGAGATCGTGTATTGCGATCAAATGAACTCCAAGTTTGCTGAGACCAAGGGAGAGCGGGACCTCATCTACGCCTTCCACGGGAGCCGCCTCGAGAACTTCCATTCCATACTGCACAACGGCCTGCACTGCCATTTGAACAGGGTGAGGCTCCTGGTATTGGCACCATTTTCTGTTGGTCACTTGCAGCTAGTGACACTTTTTAAAAATAGGCCCAAATTCCTTTAAGGATTTGAAATGTGCTGATGATCTTACACTGCTGTTTTCACTTCAGTGTAGGCCTTTGTGGATGGTTGTGGTGGATTTTCTAGTGCAGCCTGAGGGTAAAAACTGGAAGCAGCACAAAACTCTTTTCTCCGGTGTGACGAATTAAGCTAGCCTTTGCTTCTTTGTAAGGAAGTGTAATGCCCCTGAAAATACTGGCCTATCTGACAGCCTGCAGCTGGGAAGCGCCTGTGCACAGAGGAGGAGGATACTGGCCCAGGCAATGCAGAGATTCTCTCTTTCTGCCTAGCTTCAAGTTTAGATCAACTAAGTTTTAGGTGCTCTTTGCAAATGGAGCCTTCTTTACATGGCCTGGTTAAGGGAGACATCCCGTAGGATTTGTACCTCTTCTGATTTCAGCGGAAAGGCAGTTGCGACTCCTGGCTTTTTCTGTCATCTGTAAAGCAGCTTTAACACAGCAGCTGCTTGACCTTCCACTCAACCTGGACCATGGTTTTGCACATTCTTTATGAGTAGTGGCTTATCAGGTACAGTGGACTTACTGGATTAATAATTTTAGCCAGGGTGGCAAATCCCCGGATTCAAAGTTATTAAAACAGTAAGATTTGAAAGGAAGTCACAATTGAAAAGTACTTCCCTCTTTTCTAGTACAGCACAGATTTCAGTGTGAGTAAAGCCTTGTCTTGTTTGTGGAGGTTGGATTATTTGAATGATGGCAGTCTCAATAAATCAGTGAAATGCCTCTGACAGCAGTGCAGTCATGTTGATATAAAATACTTAGGCTGGCAAACTAAATCCAAATCCGGGAAAGCATGAATCTGTCCACACCAAGGGCTGTGCCAAGCAGCTAATTTGAGGGATGGGAGAGGGCAGCTGCCCCACCCCGAGGAAGTTGTGCCAGGACAAAAACAGTGCATGGACCAGGCCCAACACAGGTCAGAAAAGCCTTTCTTAATTTACCTTCAGAAACAGAACTGCCTGTCTGAAAGTAAAGAACACTTGTATGTTGTTTATAGTTTGCGCCGCAGGATTTCAGGATATATTTCTGCTCCGTTTCAGACGTCCCTGTTTGGTGAAGGTACCTATCTTACCAGTGACCTGAGCCTGGCTCTCCTTTATAGCCCTCATGGTCTTGGTTGGCAGCGAAGTGCGCTGGGCTCTATCCTTAGCTGCGTAGCTGTTTGCGAGATCATTGACCATCCAGATGTGAAGTGTCAGGTCAAAAAGAAAGGTGAGTCTATTGCAATAATAACTACGTGTAGTTCATCTCTTACTTAGCACTTCTCATATTTCAGCTTTGTGCATATGTGCTGCCGTATAAAGAGTGCAGTGTATGGAGCGTGCATGCCCTTCGGCAGAAACTGGCTGCAGACTCCTTTTCCAATTGACCCTTCAACACATGCACAACAGCCTTGTTGTCTGTGAAGCTTCTCTTAAAATAGTATATTTAAGGGGTAGAAAATACTTTGGTGGCATTATTCGTTTTTCCTAGTTTCAGTAGTATGATAAAATCATGTTCCGTAATGCCCTATCATTTCACCTGGGATGATGAAACAGAAGCATCACAAATGTATCAAGAATGAGCTATGTTAGATGCCTAGGAAGCCTCTGCTCAGATCCTTTGACTGCTTCCTGCTTGCAGGGCTCAATCAGTCCTTCCACGTTGTTTTTCGTTCCCTGTTAATATTAGCAGCTCCTCAAGCACTGTGTGGGAGACTCGCCTCCGTTTCACCCTGGTCTGGGCCATAATGCCATCCATACCAAGGATGACTAGGAGTGGTATAGCCTCAAGCAAACTTTTCAGTCTATTCTTGGATGCTGAGGAATTCAGGGGAATACCAAGACCAGATCTTTGGTTATCTCATCCCCACTCGTGTGTGTGTTTGTGTAGGGGGGTGGGAGGGTGTTGGTTGCTTGCTTTTTTACAGTTACTTGAAGTTGTGCATCTCTTTTTGCTTTTCTATTCCCCAAAGACCACTTCTTTTCTCTTCCCGTGCAGATTCAGAAGAAATAGACAGAAAAAGAGCAAGAGTGAAAAACAGCGAAGGGGGTGATGTACCACAGAAATACTTTGTTGTCACAAACAATCAGCTTTTACGAGTTAAATACTTGCTGGTATATTCACAGAAACAGCATAGGAGGTAAGAGTTCAGCTGTCTAGAGTGATGAGCATGGTATGACAGCCAAATAAGCACATCTCATTCTTGAAAAACAACAGAAAACAAGCAAGAGAGAGATGCTGCACTGCCAGAATTTGGTTTTCGTCTGTTGCCTGTGAAATAAGGCTTACACCATCATGTTGCCTCTGTCTCACTCTTTGACACTCCCAGGCTCAGCTGAGTTTGCTTTTTCACCAGACCTGTAAGCAGTTAGTATCTTTGAGAGCTCTAATAATCTCTTTGTGGCAGGAAAGAAAGAGTGAAACACTGACGAGTGCAGCTCTTAAAACTAGGGCAGTTTTAACTCTGCCCTCATCTATCCCAAGTGGCAGCATTCACCCCGCTAACCAACGTGCCTGTACAGGCCAGGCGGTTACAGCTCCAAACCACAGCGAGAGGTGTGAACGTGGCGGGGAAGGACAGGACTGTGCACAGAGACGTAGGGAAAAGGGACGGGAGTCAGGCTTTGTTAGTTACAGGGATTGTGGAACAACTTTCTGGTTTTATCACATTAGCTTAACAAGTGAAAATCACAAAACCTAAAATAGTCTTTGCCAAGGTATTTGTGCATCTCTGACAGAATTCGTGCTCTTTTGCCTTTCTAGGCCTTCTAGTCAATCTTCCTGGTTTTACACCCACCGTTTCGCCATCATGATGATGCTGTACCTCCTGCTGCTAATAGTGATAGGGGCCAGCAACTCGCCAACCTTCGTCTACTACTGGCACAGAATGTTTGACTCGGAGAGATGAATTGCTCGAGATGATAAACTGTTATTTTCACCACGTGCCTTAAGAATAACCAATCTGCAACGCACTGCATCTATTCCAGAGCTCTGGAAATAAAGGTGCCGGGAGCTTTCCAGTTCTGTCTCCAGTATATTATCCTCATGGCATCTTTCCATTTATTCTTATTTCTGTGTTCTGATGATTCATGAGGATGCCCAGTACAGCTGAAAAGGATCACAATGGTGCAGCTTAGCATGAATCAATTGTTAAGGGTCCATGGGAAAAAGTTACTTAAAGTTAGTGAAAACTCAGTGCAGAAACACTCAGGTGTAACTATCTTCTGTCAAACTGAGGTGGTAATATTTGCACAAGTTAGAAAGGAGGATTTTTCTGTCGAACAAAGCAGCCTGGAGGGAGTCTTACCAGTTTGTTTTCAGAAACTGAATTTAGTGATGTTTAGCATGTATCAATGCAGATGGGATCACTTTTAAAACTAACTTTGGCTTTGGCCAGGAATTTTTGTATTTGAGCATAATGATTGTAAGAAAACAACAAGAAATAAAGCAACAACCAAAATGGAAGAAGTTAAATGGTTTCTAGTATGTTTTTTTTCCCCTGTAAAACAACCACAAGGTTTGTGCTCTCGGCCCTGATCTACCTTGTCCTTCGTTAGTGTGCAGATGAGACAAACTCGGGCCCTTCAGCATCAATACTGAGTAAGGATTATTCCTATCAAACTGCCTTCCACTTGTCTTTTCTGCACCAAGAAGAGGTGAAGGGTTCTACTGATGCTGCCACCTGCCAGGATTTTTGGGGTTGGGGCTGCCTGGGGTTTGGGATCTGGTTCAACATTTTTGCCTGTGTTGAACTGTTTTCAGCCTCCCTTTACGAACAAATGGACTAACACAGTAACATGCCAGCAATTTCCTGAAACACTTGTAAGAAATGGAGTAAAACAGCAGCAGAACTGTTAGGTTGTATTTTATGTCTGTGAACATTTGTAGTACAGTTAACTTCGCGTAGACTTCACTTAGGCCTCCACGTGACAACTTGCATGCGCTACTATATGTTTGTAAGGTAGACTGTCCGCGCTAAGTTCTCACAAAGGTTGAGTTTTCTGTGGTCGGAATTACGGCAGTTACGCTGTTTGCGAAGAGCTTTGGCTTAATGCTGGTGCGTAAAACCTCAGTCTCTCTCAGGTTCATCTTTCCTAATCTTGAAGAAGGGCATCTTTGGCGTTTGTTTGAAAACACACATACAGGTATGCTCAAGTTGGTCATGCAACATAAACCGGGCAACGCTCTCGCCCTCCTGTCCAAGTCCTTTGCATTTGCTGCTGTTAGAAAGCAACCTACAACTACCTGAAACTGAAAAAGGGGCAAAGGAGCATCCTCTGGTTAGTGACTGAAGAAGAGCCTGGGGATTCTAGGCAAAGAAAAGCTAGATATGTGCCACGGTTCCAGCTTGCAGCCTAGCTTTTAGCAGCAGACTTGATAAATGCAGGTTTTCATTGCACAGTGAACCCTAACCACAAAAAAAAAAAAAAAAATCTCATCATATTTCCAGCAAATGAGTCTATGATTACTACCTTACTCATTAAATATTTCAAAGAAAATTTCTTCTTTCTCTGATGTTGTTCTGGTACCTAATTGCCAGAAATAATGACCTGGTAATCAGGTTTTCTAACTCAAGGCTGAGAACAAGTTCATTTACAGCAACCCCTTTTCTTGGTGGATGGAGCTAGAAGCATTTATTCCAGTTAATTTTGCTGCCAGAACAAATTTATTTATTCACCATACAGCTTGCAAAACAAGAACATTATAATCCAATTCCCCATTGCCTTTTACAGTCCATTAATAATGCTCACTGTTAAAGCACATTGTGTTGCCTCAGCCCAAGAGATGTATGTGCCAATTATAGCGTTGATTTGCAATTAAAATATACATAAACTAACAATTTCTTGCACAACAGATTCAACTACTTTATAGTAGTTTACTGTTTGATATTCCAATGCAGAAACTTGGGGTTTGAGACATGCATGGGGTTCCCGGGAGTATTTGCCCATTTCTGGGCCACCTCAGCACGGTCGATATAACCTCGTGCCATATACGTGTCAGTTCGCGGTAAAACCTAGAGGTATTGGATGCTACCTAAAGGGTATTGTGTTGTTAAAAGGCTTGTACATCTGCAAACGCACCAGCTTTTGGAACAGATGGGCTATCATCGGGCCTTTTGGAAAAGGAGGAGGCTGGGCAGCAGTTGTGGGATGGATGGATGGATGGCTGTTGGCGCTGCAGGGAAAGGCGCAAACCGGGGCCTCAGATGAGAGGAACAGATGGGGAGGAACGCAGCAGGGTTTTCAGGCTCCCTCCTTAGGCTTTCTTCTTGTAGGAAAGTTTCTGAAGAGTAATCAAGAGGAATGAATGCATAGTGGCCGTTCAGCACTATCTCCTCGTGTCTGTCTGGGCTTTTATTTGGCTTTAAGGCATTCAGCTGAGCTCTCATCCCAAGCGCGGGGCAGTAGCATCCGTGGAGGGAGCTAGTCCCCAAGCTGATCTTCTGCACCAGCTGCTCCAGGCTATATCCCCAGAGAGAAAAGTATCACGGGGCCTCTCACGGCAGACACACGCAGTCCAGCACTGCAATTAAATCAGCGGGTATCAAAGGAAAAAAATTGGTTTTTTCTGCTTTGAACAGTTTAAATGGACCCACAAGGAAGAGGTGGCTGAGTCCTGATGGACATGTCTGGAGTGCCCCTCGGAGGGCTCGCAGCCCCATCCCTCACGCTCCCAAGCCTGCGAGGACCCTGGGCACAGACTCCTCGGTGCTTCAGCTCCACATCTGCGGAGCGGGGTAACGCTGTCCTCAAAGGCAATGGGAAAATAAATACATTTAAGGTGCTCAGACTCTACCTTAGCGGGCCAGCAAAATACTTAATATCCTACTCCCACGCTTGTTTTCTGTGCTCCCTGCTGATTTCGGCATGTGTTTCCCAACGTGGCGAGATGCAGGCGGCTGAATTCATGCGAGTATTGTGCTGAGTAACTCACAATATTATGAATTAACCCAAGGTTCGTGTTAACCTCTTAAGCCACTTGCGTGCCTCTTTGAATATGCATGGTACTATAAAAACGCTAATGGGGAATGAATCAGAATTTCCTCCCAAACAAAGGACCGCTGTGTCTGAAGCAGGCAGCCCAGGGTGAGGTCGAGGAGTTGTAAAATATAGAGCTACCTGTGCTTATTAATATGCTCATTACATTATTGTGGTGAATATTAAGGAACTGTTACTGAGTCAGACAAATCCAGCCCTGCTGTGACTGCAAGGAGAAGCATGGCAGCTGGTGTTTCCTGGGGGGAATGCGCAGATTTTGGGGAAGTGGGAGAATTTTCCTCCCATAAGGGGAAATAGATAATAAATATATATATGGAGAGAAGTCAGGTGCCAGCTGAGGAGGAGGACAGGTGCTGTGGGAGAGCTGGGTTTGAGGCAACGTGCGGAGAGAAGGAACCACGGCAGAAAGCAGGATCACCCCTGGGGCGGGGAGGAGTGAGGCTCCAGGTTTTCCGTTCCTGATGAGTGATGCAAAAATCTTTTGCTCTCAAATGGATTTAAGAAATGCAGAATCAGAGATGTCGAGACATTCAAACCAGGCCTGGGCTTCGGTCTGCCTCTGGCAGGACCCAGACCCAGGTTGATCCCCGGTGACCCGGAGGCTGCTCGGCTCCCCCGGGGAGGTGCTGCCCGCCTGCTCACTCCCCCTTCCCGTGTGTGTTAGGCACACGGCTTGGCAGCATCCTCTTCTAGTGACATTTTCCTTCTATCATGAAAGCTGTCACTTTGGGCACCTTGCCCACGCTCCAGGCTTCCCAAAATGTTAGCCTTGAGCACCAGCAATGGGAGGGAAGGTATCAAGAGGCAGGCAGAAGGAGCAGCACTGCAGTGCCTGCAAGCATCCCAAGGGATGTGTCATGCTTCCCCCAAGGACCAAGGTATGTATCTTTGTCAGCATCCCGATTTTCCTACTCTTCACCTAAAGCCAAACCTGCTTCTGCCCTCCCACCATACCCATGGTGTGTAAGGGTCCTGGGTCCCTCCCACAAGAGAAAAACTGCTTCTTGTCCTCAGAGAAGGTCTCTGAGCTCTCCTGCCGCTGTGCAAGAGGGCACAAGTGACCTAAAGCGTGTGAGCAATGCTGGACCCGTTCTCTCCCACTCAGCAGAAAGCAGATGAAGAACGTTCTTAGGAGATTAAAGACACTTTCCTGCTTATTTGAGGCCTGCCAGAAAACCAACACACCTTCAAAGTCTGCCTCCCATTAGCCATCATCAGTAATATAAACAGTGAGACCAAATGAGTGTTTGATGAATAAATTAGCTTCCCCTACCACAAGTCATTCCCATCACCTTACAAGGAACACTTATTTCCACTGGTCGAGCCGAGCCAGCCTGGCAGCAGCAAGCCCCGATCCCGTTAGCGTTGCGTAATTAACCTTGAGCAGAATGAGTCCAGGAAAGCCAAACGGCGATTACGCATCTCATTGGAGTTTGGATGCTTCCTAAATGGCTCATGCTAATCCCCACCAGCCCGTCTGGGCTCCTGCAGCTCTAATTGAATATTTTTCTCCTTGGGCAGCATGTTTAGCATAAATGATAGCATGGGGAAAGGCAAGTGCTCAACACCCATCCACAGCTTGGCATCACCCTGAGCACCGTGGCTTCCCATATCCTCACTGCCCAGCCTCAGCCAACCCTCAAACACCACTTGCCGCCCCTCTAATTTTAATAATTTGTTAGCTGGCGCACTGGGAGACCAGTCCAGATCCTTTCTGACCGATGGTGATCCATCCCTTCTTGGAGACAGGGTTGAGCAGGCCCCCTTGGTGCCCAAAGGAGATTTGCTTTCTTGGGGGGAGACATCTCCCAGCCTCCCTACATATACAGCAACAGCAAGTTAAGAATTGTTTTTAAAACAAAGCTCTTTCATCCTGATAAAGTCCAGATGCTCATTCAAAGCTGCAGTGGCCACAGAAATACCAAGGGAGCTGCCTCCTGACAAGTCCAGAGCTCCTGAGCTGCCCAAAGATTTCACAAAACCAAAAAAAAAAAAAAACCCAACCAAAAAACAAACCACCTGGCTCAAAACTAAAATTCTTTTCAAAAGCAAAAAATGCATTTAACAACAATCAGCACATAATGAACAAATAAATAATCTACTATTTCTAATTGCATGAAAGGGAACAACACAGCTGAATAAAGCCACCTCTTCAACCCACATCCAGAAAAGAGGCCTCCACCTTCACAAGCAACTTTTGGCACATTGGTGAAAAAGCAAAAAAAAATCCATTTTACTCACCATAGCTCAGCTGATCCCCTCCAGCAGCCTCCCTTGCCCTCGCAGTGCAACCAAAGACCATCAGCACTTGTGGGTGCTGATGGACCCCTTTACCCACAGGTGTTTCCCATCACCTTCCTCATTGGCATCACCTGTGGGGTGGCT